AAGCTAATAACTATCCAATGAAGGGTTGGAAGAGGGTCCTATATACTTAATCTGGCATAGAGAAATTGAAACGATCGGACATCACTCCGCTCTTGCATGCAACGTGGCCAGCGATAGAGTTTTTGAGTGACATCTCATRTAGTGACATTTCCTACARCGGGAATGGGGTGGGGCTTATGCAAATTACCCACGACATACCTGTATCGGTAATTTGCTTAACCCCGCCCCCTTTGCATGATTGGGAGGAGACTGAAAATCAAACCCAGGACTGAAGTTCGAAAAGCAAAGGGTAGTGGTAAATGTCCTTTGGAAGGGGTCTAAGGAAGTTTTCGGTACAGAGTGATTATCCTCTTTTTCGTTTTTTTTTTTTTTTTTAGGTTACACAAACGAAAATTGAGATTGCACCACTTCAGATAGCAGGTACTCTTCAATCTAGACTTGAAATAATTGGAGTTCAAACATCTGATGCAGGAACGTATACATGCAACGCAACGAATACACATGGCGTTACTAGTAAAGCAATATCGGTATCGGTTACGCAATGATATCGCAATTGACGTTTCTTTAACGCAAAGAAATGTTTACAAGGTGACGCCGTCTCGTGTGAGACGTAAGTGACGCAATGGTTGTAGAACAAACACAACCAAAATAAACACAACATTAAACTAATGATGTAATTAGAAACGAAACAGTTGCAGTTGCTTTTATATAAAACATGTAATTGATGTGCTCGAAGTGTGTAATTAATTGGTTTAAATTTTTTGCATAATCATCTGTTGATTTTACAGTCAACGGTTGAAATTTGAATACTATACCGTACACATCAGAGGGTCTTGCTAAATTGCTTATTTTTAGGAATGTTATTCACAGACAAATAAACTGTTCCATAAACAATGCATAAATAAGCTTGATTGYTTTTCTTTTGAAGAAAAAAAGACGGTTTTAAYTTATACCGGAAGTCAGAATGTTGAGCATGCGCATATCTGACGACCTAGAATCTGGGGTCTTCCGGTTAGTGTGTACCCTGGGTGCCAGAGGTCCGTGTGCCGCACATCATTTAAAGCTGAAGTCTATTAATCCCTTTTTTCTTATTTATTTAATTTACGAGATGAAATAGTACAAGGACGTACGTATTTCTGAAATTTTGTCAKAATATACCCCATCCTTTCGTAGTACAGATATACAATAAATGAGGGTTACCAAATTATTTCTCAGCTGAATACCAAGCAAATAAATGGTACGAAAAGACGCGCGAGTGCACGTTAGCAGTTTCTAACTCAGGGTAAAATAACACTATTGAAAAAAAAATCTCTAAAAAATCCAAAATGTCAAACGCGGTTATCTTGAATATTTCTACCATAACTTGTCATAAAAAGAAACTACGGAAGGTTTATTGCGATTCTAACCCGCGCAATTCCACGACAGTTCGCCGATTCGTAAAGATTCATTTCCCCCGCCTAGAAAGCCTCAGCTATTTCGAACCCTTAACTGACAACATCTGGACTGCTCAAAGTCGGCTGGGCATGCATGTTAACTCACCGCTGAACAAACCCTGTAACAACCTATGGGTTGATGAAAGTCAGGGCATGGCTTAATCACAGATCAAATCCTGAAACAAGCTTCTAGTCAGGGTACCGCTAACTCACCGCAAAACAAACCCTTAAACGACCTCTGGGTTGATGAAACACTGGTTATACAGTACATGGCTATCTCACAGACGGCGTGTTTGATTATGCAGAATGGACAGGACCATGATAAACGATGGGCAAACAAAAAGGTCAAAACAATAATGCACATTCAACAGCGTGAGTGCAAGGTGAATTTAATGCGTACTGATCGCATACTGTACTCAATGCAGAACTTAGAAACATCCATAAATGGTTACTTAGCAATAAGCTAAGTTTGAATGTTACCAAAACTGAATTTATGATTATTGGCTGTCGCCAAAAATTTACTGCACATGACGATTTTCCAATAAAAGTAACGATTGGCGATAACGAAATTAAAAAAGTCGATCATACGAAGTCGCTCGGCGTCACAATAGACAAAAATTTGAATTGGTCTGTACACATTCAAAATGTTATCAAGAAAGTCTCCTCTTGCATAGGAGCCTTAAAACCCGTGCGTCCTTTTATCTCCATCAGTACTGCCATTCAAATTTATAAAGCGCTTATCCAGCCCCACTTTGGTACGGTGTGGAGTCAACATGTCAACAGGGGGTCTGGGGGTGGGGTTTCAATTGACTAATGCATAAACGATACTAAATCAACCAGCGATCTAGTGAGGGACTACTCGCGATCCTTATCAATACGGGCACCCTAGGAATCATTAGAAAGTTTTCCTACTATCACGTGAACTCCTCATCTCTTGATCATTATTTACAATTTTAGGCTCTGGTTTGCTACCGATTTTCTATGTTACACGCATTTTTTTACCCCTTGGTTCTGGTTTCAAGGGAACCGCGTCCTTCGAGTACACACAGGAAGCCCGAGGTTCCCTGGGTCAAGCCAGAGGTAATAGGCATTCAAACCTTTCGAGAATGCCAGTGTAGTAAACTGTGTTTACGCCCGTGCCATCTCATCGTCGTCAGAATCGCTGTCACTCAAGTATTCCTCTACAACAGTCTTTCGCTTCTTGACAACGGACACAACAAAGCCTATTAAAAATGCCTGTCAAGGAAGAAGGAAAGGAATCAACATCAACAAAACACGTGATAAAGTATTTTCATACTGGAGTGAGAGAAGGACCATTAGATAATTGGGCGGGGAGGGGGAGGGAGTAAATCCAAAACAAATATCGAGCAACCACAAAAGAAAATGCTTGCAGGGTTTGTTGCAAAAATAAGTTTCGTGAAAGATAAATTTCTGCAAACCCCACCCCATTAATTATCTAATGGTCCATCCCTAAGAACTTGCGATTGCATCTGTAATTTTCATGCAGTTATCAAAAACCTTTCCAAGAATATTCTTTTTTCACTAGTGCTGTACACAGCTTGAAAAATAATGTCCACCGAAAAAATGGAACTCGGCCGATGAACTAACAATGCGACTAACAGATTATCTCACCAGAATCAGGTAAAACAAGAAATCTAGACTCACCAAGAGAAACAGCCAGGTACCCCAGTAATAGCAAGCACCAAAAAACCACACCTTGTAGAAAAAACGGTGGAGGAACACTGAAATCCGCGTCATCAAACAATCATCTAAAAACAAAGCAATAATCATGAATAGATGATGATAACAGAAGCAGTGACTTGAACAATGCGGGATTACCCAACAGCCGAATAATAAAAAAAAGTCGACACCCAAACCGAATATAAAATTTATCTGACTCCTGAAAGAACCTCTAGGCTGATCACATTCAGGCATGGCTAACTCACAGATCAAACTCTGAAACAACCTCTGGGCTGCATGATCAAAGAGCATAAAGTTAACTCACAAACTGAATTGGGATTTATGCTGAGTTTTGGGGAAGGTATGAAAAACAGAGAAGCCGAATAAACCCTTGAATCAAGGGAGAGACGTAAGGAACTCTGCCCAGAGACCTGACACCCAGAGGGGAGAGGCAAGTGCAGGAAATGGTTTACTGTACATTTTGTTTTAAACTTGAGCATTAAATTTGAGGGGCACTTTCCAAGAATACGAACGTTTCCATGTGCTTTTACGGAAGTTATACTATTGTATATCAGCAAAGTGCCTCTTAATGCCAAGAACAGAAAATCAGCAAATACCCGATGCTCAGTACATGTACTGTACTTACCAGAAGAAACCTCAGTGGAACAGACATATGCTGTGATGGTTGTGACATTGTTTACAGTACTGTTACCCTTGAAAGAAAAAGAATAAGAAAATTATAAATAAATAAATAATTGATCCAAGTTCTTCTGGTCATCTGGATGCAAGTTTTCTTTGGTTTTCTAGTCTTTCTCTTCAGAACGTAAGTACCCAAAAGAAGTTGATGGGGTACAGGACGTAACGTTTGCTGCCGTACATAACGTACTGGGGTAAAAGGGTTAATTAGGTGGACAGGGTACAGTACTTACCACGTAATGTTGGCTGCCGTACATAACGTACTGGGGTGAAAGGGTTAATCAGGTGAACAGGGTACAGTACTTACCATGTAATGTTGGCTGCCGTACATAACGTACTGGGGTGCAAGGGTTAGATGGACAGGGTACAGGACTTACCACGTAATGTTGGCTGCCGTACATAACGTACTGGGGTGAAAGGGTTAATTAGGAGGATGGTTCAGGGTACAGGGTACAGGACTTACCATGTAATGTTGGCTGCCGTACATAATGTACTGGGGTGAAAGGGTTAGGTGGACAGGGTACAGGACTTACCATGTAATGTTGGTTGCCGTACATAACGTACTGGGGTGAAAGGGTTAGGTGGNGGTGGACAGGGTACAGGACTTACCATGTAATGTTGGTTGCCGTACATAACGTACTGGGGTGAAAGGGTTAGGTGGACAGGGTACAGGACTTACCACGTAATGTTGGCTGCCGTACATAACGTACTGGGGTGCAAGGGTTAGGTGGACAGGGTACAGGACTTACCATGTAATGTTGGCTGCCGTACATAACGNCGTACATAACGTACTGGGGTGCAAGGGTTAGGTGGACAGGGTACAGGACTTACCATGTAATGTTGGCTGCCGTACATAACGTACTGGGGTGCAAGAGTAAACAGCATAATGTTCAAAGACAGCACGATCAACATCAACATGACACACATCATCAACAGGGCTTGAGGTAGGGTGTGTCTGGGACGAATTTTGAACAGCTGGTGATAAACGTTAAGGAAAACAGAAAATACATGCACCAACAGGAAACGAGATCATTTGTTACGATATTTGATAGATACTGTGCCATTAGTAAACCCTTAAACCTAAATTAAGCTCGAGTGATTGCATTCGTGCGAAGTACCTCGAACAGGATGTCGTATCCTATGGTACAGCCTTTGGGTAAATATCAAAAATAAAAACATTTGTAACATGCGCTTTCAAATTGATGGATGATTCAGTAATTGAAAATTGTCCTAAACAAATAAGTGGTTTCAATCAACGTGGTTCATATAAAGACTGTTAGGATGATAACTAGTGTAAAATTAATTAAATCATTCTAAAATATTATTAGAGAATTGGTCCGTCTTTCTTCTGTAATTGTATAAAGGATACTTTAATCCAACAGCACCGTATACCAGTACGCTTGATCCCAGCCATTGAAGCATAAATGAAATACAACACTATTGCAACGAACAGGCAATAGTCCAAAGGAAATACCTTGAAAGAAAAATAATATCATAAGTATTTGTATACTATTTATTTTATTTTATTTTATTTCATTTTTTTTTTTTTTTGAGTGAAATCTCGAATACTGAGGCAACACACCACACTTGTCTAGAACTTAAAAAACTTTGGAAAATTTTCAGGTGGGGAGCTAGGGGATTTTATAGCAACAAAAATATTGCAATTGTTATTGTTACAGAAAATATCCATACTTCCCCTAACATTGGACGTGCATTAGAAATAGACCTCAAGCATGATGATATTTTATACCTTAACTTCCAGAATTCTTTTCGGTAGCTTTTTTGTTATGCCAATTTTCACTACTGCCTTGGCATTCCCAAAGTAGTTTTAATATTTGAATATGAAAAGCTATTTTGAAAAAGATTGTGGTAGTTTAGGTATGGAACGACATTAACGTTAATGTCTATTTATAGCTGGGGGGAAAACAATACCTGCTGTGCGTACACCATAATGATGTTGATAGGGTTCGGCAACTGGGCCTTGGGCAGAACATAACCATATTTATAACCTTCAGAATGGATTGCCTTGTCAATGCTGGAAAATAATATGAAAAATCATGATGATGAATTAATGGATAAGTAGACTGATGGATGGATTGGTGAATGGATTTGATTAAATCATAGTTAATCTATTAACTATGATTAAATGGAACAATTGTTACAAAGACAAACAATTGTAAAACTACCAAGTTCTAAATTACACTCTGATTGGTTGAAAAGCTATTTCAGAAGAGAGTATCTAACACGTTCAGACCATTTTTCACACATTTTTCATTTTTTGTGCTCAGAATTTGAACTTTCATAGGAAAAAATCAAACAGTATTTTTCATGAATTTGTGCTCTTGTTATTTCATAAAAAATACATAAAACAGTCTACGTTTTAGATACCCTGATCTAAACATGTGGAATGCTGAAAGTAAATTTCACAAGCTGGAAACCACCTGTGCATACGGTTTTATCTCTTTAAAATATAACTAGTGGATATTCTCACCATGTAAGAAGAAGTGAAACAAAAAGAAGTAGTGAAAAGAGCAAGTAGAATACTCCAAACACAACTTCAAATGGACGGCAGCACTTGAGGCATTTGTTAAGCCATCCAAGTTGTGCACTTTCAAGCCTCCTATCCTGTCTTGTTAACAAATGCTCTTCATCTTCCAGTTGTGATAGTTGTCTCCTATCCCTCCTGTGCATGGAGCGACCATCTTTGTACTTGGCTTGGATCATTCTTGTTCTCTCTCTGTTTTCCTGGATTCTTCTGGAGACAGCTTCCTGTTCTCTCTGCAGGAACAACAGAACAGAAAAAATATGATTTTGAGAACTGATAGTACATGTACATTTAATGGGATCGGGTGATGGGTGATGTAAAAAAATATCTTCCACTAGTAAGAAAACTCGTTTCCCATAATAGAAATCCAAATCATGATGCTACAGTTACTGTACTAGCCCAAGAGCTCTTACTCTGACTAATGTCCGAAAAGTCAGTTTAACAAAGCTTCTTACGGTGATTCAATTTATTCATAAGTTCCTACTGTTTTAGTCCAAAAACTGTGGAGCACACTAAAATGTGTATGTGTGAGTGACGTATGTAGGGAGAGGGGAGTGGGGGTGGGGAGGTTAGTGGAAAATATAGCAGAATGTTTTCTTCAGTATGCGTAAGACTAATACAGGGTAGCCTCATTCTTGAAAATTTAGTGGATATTAGCAAGCAACCAATTATATAGTAACATGAACACAATAACTCTTCCATCTCCTCCCTCTCTTCCTCTCTCTGTAGTCTAGCTATAGACAATGAAATTGCTCTTTCTAAGTCTTGCTCTACTTTTGTGAGACTTCAACTATCTTCTACTTTTTATTATAATAATGAATGGCTTAAACTTACCTTTGCACTTTTAAATCCTTTGAGCATTGCAAATGGGAGTGCTGTCATGCCATAAGCCTAAATAAATGAAAGTCGTACAGCAGAATAATCTGTGAGATCTTTGAGCACCTCTGTCATGTTGGTCGACTTTTTAAAAAACCATTTGTTGTGTCAACCAACATGGTGGTTATGTCTTGTGTCCTTTTATACTTATGGGAAGGGATGCTGTCACTTATAGTTAATTCTTCCAATAATACTGTAGCTTGTAACCTTACCGTATAGGAGATCATAATAAGCAGCCCAATGAGAGACAAGAACCCTATCAATAGAGAAAGTGCTGTTTCTCCCTCTAAAAAAAAAACACACAATATCAATAAGTTTGTGAATACTAATAAATAAAATATAAAAGGAACCTGGAATAGTTTTTTTCCAAATTTGTGGAGATCCAGGGAATGTACAGTTTGGCACAKCTATAGAGTCATTTCTCCAATATTTTCTGAGGCATTCGAACACTTGTTAAAGTGTACTTTTTAGCTTTAATGGCAAGTCCTTAAACATAGTAAATATGCTAAATTTCTATATTTTTTTTTAGAATCATGAGCAAACTCTCATTCTACATGTAATTGGCTAATTGCAGGATTCCATTCAAAGCTTATAAAAGTCTTTCAATCTCAGTATCTGCTCTGGACACATGGCAGTCAAACACTACTGTCATGCCAGAAAGAATTCGTTTGAACACTTTCAGATGATGACCATCCCACATAACAGAAGTATCATCTAGTGGAAATAATCAATACAGTACATATTTAAAAAATATAAAACACTGCAATAATAAGACTTCTATACTAACTGTTGGCACTCAGTTCATCTTTCAAGAAGAGAAATTTCTGATCCCATTGGGTTATATTTTTAGGAGGCTGCTTCAGTGGTGCAAATGCTCTGAAATTAACCCAAAACAGAGTCATTAGAATTGGTGTGGCACCTTTAATAGAGCTATGATATTGGTTTGTATTGAAAACTTTAAAATATTGTAATAGGGTGCAAATACATGTAATATACCCGTGAAATAGATAGCTAGCTAACTAATTACTAACTTTGTGCTATTGGTTGCCTAAGTCTAATTAGTAAAAGCAATAGGCAAGACGTGACGGGTAAATTAGTGCATGTGTGCTACTCAAGGGCGCGCATTTTAAAATATTTTTAAACACACTTACAAAAACTGAAACAATATTTTATTGCACATGCTTTTGCTTCGTATAATTTTACATGTTTGTATTTTCGTATCTATTCATTTGCGTCTTGAGTTGTCACTTTAGTAAATGCACATGCCCTTATCATGCGTCACTGAATTCCTATGTCTTTTCTAATAAGCGCTGACTATCTCCTATTTCATCCTAACTATTTCACAGGTATATTATTTGCACTCTAATCTAAGTCAATAGGTCAATATATAGATCAAGTCCTCACCCAACCATAAGAAGAACACAAGCCACAATAAAAAATCCAATGGTGTATTTTGTTGCATTACAAACCCTCTAGGAATAGAAATTGAATATTTGTGGTTAGACAAGTGAAGTCTGAGACATAAACCAATAAAATCATTTTGATGTGCATATGCAAATTAGCCTGGTCAGAGACAGTAAATGTCCACCAGTGTATATGTATAATTAAATGCAGTCTTTGAAATTTGAGTTTTCTTTTTCAAAAAAAATGCATTATTAAAAATACATATTACAGTAGTGGTTATTTTGGACATGAATAGCAAAGTAGAAAGTGCCCTCTCATGTTGTGTAGTCTCATAATTTTGCACACATGTTCACAACCAACCAAAACACAAGATTTTTTGACAGTAATATTCATTTAAGATTAATATTATCATTATCATTATCATTTTCATTATCATTATCACTATCGTCAGCGTCAGCGTCATTGTCATTGTCATCCTCATCATCATTATTATTATTATTAGTTAGAAAACTTGCTTTCTACAATGTCTACTCTATGGTTGTCATACCTCCCTGGTAGTGACATCCTCATCTTTTTCTTCAAAGAAGAAGTACATGAATGGCATAAGCACAAATATTAGGAAGGCCAACAATCCATATAGAACTTGAAAAGGATAAAAATATTATCAAATTATAAATATTTCAAATGAAAAACACAGTAGAAAATCATGATTAATGGAGTCTGAAAATGGAATGCATGCACTTTCCATATTTGCATTAAACTCTAAATAACATCTTTTTTTGTCAAACTCACATGCCTCGATTTCTGAAATTTTAGAATACAAAACATTATATATACAACCCATACTTCTAGTTATTTCATGAGTAACATAATATATCTTATCTCTATATACTGTATATACACGTAATATCATGCCTTTTTAAATGCCCATAAAGACATTGATCCCATATACTGTATGTTTACAGATTGCCTGGTTTCCAGAAAGCTTTGCCATGACATCAGCCCCACCCCCTCCCCATGTGGAAGGTAGATTCTATAGCTACACCATGTTTACACATGCACATGACTTGGAAATAATTGAATAACCATACCATAGTATGTAGTGCTAACAGCATCCTCCAGGTCATTTCTGCTTGCACTATTTGAACCCCACTCCTGAGAAATTACAAATATCAAACCAAATAAAAATCAACCTTCTTGAACCCTGAAAAATAAGTTTCTTGAAACCTGGAACAACCCCCTGGGTTGTCCTAAGTCTGGGCAGGGATGATCGAGTCACAGATCAAGCCTTAATATAACCCCTGAGTTGACCTTAACTTAGCTGGGCAGTGCTGGCTCACAGATCAAATGATCCTGAAATAACTCCTAAGTTGACCTATTATCTAGTGTTGCTATTATACAAAGAAATGATACTCAAGGGAATGAAGACTGATATTTCAGCTAGCTGAATGAGATTCAAAACATTGGGTGTTTACTATTTAAACCAATCCATCCAGTTGGAAATTTGTTTAATAGTAGGAAAACAATGGGAAATTTTAACTTCCAACAAATGTTACATGTGTCTACCAGAAGAACCGAAAAGAGTATACGGGAAAAGTGGATTCCCTCAATCAGAAGACTGAGTTTTCTAGAAAAATCCAAAGGGGATAGACACATATACCATTGGCTTTTCCAACCAGAATTCCTGTTGTTGTTTTTAGGTAAATGGAAAGCACCCTAATACTAACCTTCCAATTTCCATCTGATTTTTTTAAGTATGATACCAAGAATATATCCACTGGAACCAATGCCGAGGTTAATAATGCTATAGTCAGTGCAACAATAGCTGTGATAGTTGAGGACACCTCTGACAAGGAGCTATCTTGGTAGTAACGAATGTAAAACCAAGAAAATATAATTGTCATCTGAAAAATAAAATAAATAAACAAGCAAAATGTTATGTGTATGCTTCTTGAAAATACATCATTATTTTAAAGAATTTTTAAGAGATTTCAGCAACTGCATCTTGTTATACAGTAAAGAGAGAACATTTAGATGGCAAAAATTATAATATATCCTCTTAATAAGATAATAAAAAGTAATTAGGTAGTTTTAGATTTACGTTCACGGCAAGCGTGAAACGTCAGTTGATCAGTGAAAAATTCTTTTAAATAAATGTAAAGGAATCGCAAAAAAATCCAAGTGGTAGAAAAACAAAAAAGTTTGCAAGAAATAAAGTAAAATACAAGAAAACGATGAAAACGTGGTCACGTTTGCCGTTTGCGGGAAGAAAAAAAGTCAATCTAAAACTCTCTATTAATATATTTTTTCCGTCTAAATAAACCATGAAGCGTAATATAAGTCTTACAGTGCATGCACATGTAAGCTATCAATATTAATCCATCTTATGCTACTACTGCTAAGAGTAAAAACAAGTTTAACAGTGGTTAGTTTATATTCTCGTGTTTTTCTTTATACTTTAGCTGTATAACCTTATCTGTCTGTACTTATTTTCGTACCCTTAAGTATTATATATCACATATATTGGAAAGGAAGAACCACGTCAAAACGTGTTTACAAGTTCCTAGGGTTTCTATCAGTAGCTTTGAAATGCTATACAGAAAATTAACAAAATTACAAAGAAAAAATTTGTTGAAGGAGAATCTAAGATGATAAGCTCCATAATGCAGATGAACTTACCACGACAACGACAGTAAAAGGGATCCATCCTTCAGCTAAGACTTCATGAGGTATCGCCATCTTTCTTTTCTCCTACGTCTATAATATCTCCCTTGGCCTAATACTTCATGTGAGTAAATTTATCCTAAATGATGACCTATCGATACATTATTTTTGAACTACATAAAGTAGCTCCCTTTTTCCTGCTTCAAAACAAAGACGCACCTTGTCGCCCCAGGCTCTTTGACCGCGTATATGAGCCCGCGATACTTGGGTCAGCGGCGGGCGGCGGGCAGTTTGAAGTGATAAACAAACATGTTCCTAACAGTTTGAAGAAGTTTTGAAAAGTTTGTAAAGAGCAAGATCGACAGGTTAAGATTTGTCTTCTACTACAATCGTGTCGTTAATATCCATAGTGAAGTCTCTATAGTGACTTTTTTGAGCTGAACAATGGATATTTGACGAGTGATTTTGATGACTTAGTCTCGAATGAACTTTTCAAACGTTCAAAAGCTTAATGTAAATCAGTTCTTAGACTCCAGACTTCGTAAAATTTTTGCTTAGTTACCGTTATTTTCTTTGGTCTTCCTTTTCAGAAACTCAGATTACTTACCAGATATATACCAGATATCTACAGCGGAAATTAGAGTCGATCATTTTGGGGTCATGGCAGAGGAAACGAATACTCGGAAACCGAGACTAAAGAGAAGAAGTAGCGTACGTTAGATTTGCTGAATATATTACGATTAATCTCTATTATTCTTGGCTGGAATTGCTTATCATTGTTATATTCAACCAATTTCTTTGTTTTGCTTATCAATCACATTTGGGTCCACAGTTCTAAGAAAATCTGGATTCGGAATCGAAGGAAATTTGGCTTTTAGAACTCAACAGAGTCCAGGCTCTTTACGTTTACAGGGGGAGATATTGGACAATTTCAGTACTGAATATTTGGTTACCTTTTACACTTTCTGAACACTATATTTTACTATGTTTTGTTGAAGGACGAGCAAGATCAAATAGGATCACAGTTCTTAAATTTAGAAGACAGGTAAGCTCTAATAAAAAAGCATAAATATATGGCATTGGGCTTCACTATCAAACTGTCACCCTATTAGCAACCTTATTAATTTTTACTGATTAAATTAAAAATTTCAAAAAGAAAGGAATAAATAAAAAATCATTATCAAAAATGTCAGAATTATATTCTTGAATCGTGTTTTAACAATTTAAATGAAATTCTAAGCTTTAAATAACGTTTACTCGGTAAGTGCTAAATTGTTTTACAAACCGGAAGAAGCAAGCATGTTCACTTGATATAGATTTTGATATTTATGAACTGGGCTTCCTGTTTTCCCTAGTTGTATTTGCTAACCATATCATGACATCTCTTCTTTTAACTATCAGTCCGAAAGAAAGAAAACTTCGCAAGCTTCCATCCCTTGAGAATTTGGAACGGTCTCCCAGAAGATCCACTTCACCCAGTAAAAACTTAACAAGCACTCCACGACTCAAAGCCATGAGTGACCGTCTGACTCTCTTTGGGAGAAAAAAGGCGTCTGATAACTACTTGAACYGTGACTTACAAATTGATAAACTTTCTCCTGGTAGTCACAAAAATTTACAAGCACGTTCCACGACACTTGGGCTTTACGAGTCTCGTAGGACTAGTGATTGCAAATTCAAATGTCCAACGTGCTACAAGCAATTCAGATATCTAGGTAACCTCAAGTCCCATATAAGTGTGGTGCATAAGATGGTTTACAAAGACCCCAAAACGAGTCCAATACTGACATCATCCAACGGCCAAAATAAACAAAAATCCTACGAGTGTCATTTGTGCTTCAAGAAGTTCAAGTATTTGGGTAATCTCAAAASTCATCGCAAAGTCCACAGCAGTTTGAACTAACGACAGGACAACAATCATTTGGTCAAGATGTGTTTTACATTTCAGCGCCAGAGGTCAGGTTTTCTGGCGCTCTTTAGAGATGATACTCTCAAAACACCAGAAACTGAAAATCAACTATAACGAAGTTATTCGACAAAGACATTCCGGTATGTTAGTTGAACGGATCAACCATACTCTTCAGTGACTGCACTGCTTTAACGGGAATTAATGCGAATGGGAARTATGACAGTTAAGTTTTTTTTCCCATTTGAATCACCCTGGTAACGATGTCTATGTCACATGGTGACCTAGTTTGTAAACGGGAAAATTTTATCATTTGTCAAAATGTTAGAACCAAGTTAGATTAAGGTCGAAAAGTCTTCTTACAGCTTTAGAAAGAAAAAGAATAGAAAAGCGACAAGTCCAACCAGTTGTCTTTTGTAACAGTTTCAAAATCACACAAGCGTAGCAAAAAATATTGAATGCTCTGCAGTTTTCCATGGAAGCAGAGAAAACACATAGACTAAACACCTGTAGAATACCAACACCTCTCTCGATAGAAAACTTATTTATTATTCATTAACTTGTGCTATTTAGGTTGACGAGACCAAAGACTAAATAAAGGAAAACAGTTGTTTATAAATCCTAATTTGTTTTACTAGAGTTTGGAAGGTATTGGATGCCCGGTTTTTGAGGGAGTGAGTGTTTCGTACTTGAGTTTATTATGTTATCATTAAATTGGTGAAGGTTTTCAGCAAGGTAAGTTTGTGTTCATTTATAACAGTTTTCGTTCAAGTGACAATCTTCAAGATCTGATAGAGTTTAAGAGTCTCGGTTGTGTGTCATATATAAGTTTAAGTCAATATTTTGATATTTACTTTGAAATTCGATTTTTTTTTTTTTTTTTTTTTTTTTTTTTTTTTTTTTTTTTTTTTTTTTTTTTNTAATATCTGGTGAGATTCTAGGCTTGAAAAATGAGAAACTTGTACAAAAAATGTATTTTTTTAAATGTTTTATTTTGGTATTTAGAATAATTTGATTATCACAAGAAAAATCAGTTATCTTTCTTGACGTTTTCCAAAAGAGAGCTTTCATGATCACGTGTCGAAAGCCATTTTTAGATGACAGACGACGGACAATAGAATCTTTTTAGTCTAGAGGATTAAATTCTTTCTCGTGTGATTATTAATATCATTATGTAAAACGATCGTATTGTTTATRACATCCAATATGGCTACCTTCACGTAATTATGCAAAACCTCTATATTTGAGCACAGAAATCTAGAAATAAGTCCAATGATTCACAGAATCTTTATATTCTCGTAAACAAACTCTAAAGTCAAATTAATTTGATATTTCGCTGAGAAGAGTCTTAAGAGAATGTATCTTTATCTGAACGTAAATCGGTTTTACTTTCAGGTTCAGAAGCAAATAACRATATGATTGTAAAAGCAATGTTAACTTGGTCTGCACTGTTCTTTGCATGTAAGTACTGAACAACTAATGCATCATCAGCTAGCAATAATGATCATGCAAAAAAAAAAGAGTTAGTAGCGGCCATAGCAGTGGAGTCACCCTACCTTCTTGTAAACGTTTGTGTCGTTACGACCCATCTGTTTTACGCTGGAACAATTTTGATTTTTTACACCAAACGTGCGTTCATATATGTCACGTGCGGCTAGATTTTCAAAGCTGGCGTCCCACATGGAAAGGAATTCGAATGACCTGATCATTCTAGCACTGGCACAACTGATGTGCCGGATTTTCTTGTTATAATAAGAGATTTTAAAAACRTCTACAGAGGTCTGGGGGGCTAACAAACTTCTACCTATAGGATTCGACGGAGYTTCYCGATCAGTCTGTAAATCCTCGAATAGCGGTGTTAGGACGGAAATCTCTAGCATATGCTTCGCGCTGCCTTACAATTCTTCAGAGCTCAGTATCTAAGTATAGTCCTGGAAAAAAACAATCGATCAATTGATTTTAAATAAATGATCCCCAAAACCAGTCTCGCTGGGATACATAGGAAGGAGTTTAATATCATTTGTGTTATGAYAGGTGTCAATGGTCTTGTGGCGCAGAACATGGCATATCGAAGGGAACTAGACAAGTATCTACGAAGTAAGTAAATAAATCGGATTGACTTAGCCCGTCTGCGCATAAACGTTTCTTTAACACCTACCCTATCCCACTATGCAAACCACCATCCCGTATCTAAAGTGTTAATCTACGCCAGAACTGCGCAAATATTTGGTTTAACTTTGGCAAAGACGTCTGAGAAGTGTTCGCAAGATGGAATTTGTTAAGCGCAAACAGTTGTACAACTCGAGTTTGACTTTTGTAGAAGTGCTTCGTCGCAGTTAACGACGCAACTAACGTCTTCAGCATTGATGTCTTCTTGAAAATGTTCTCTTGATATTTTCTTGAGATGCGCGCAACTCTGTAATAAGCGTCCTCAATCTGAATGTTCAAACTTAATGTTTTACAGGTAAATTCGTGACTTTCGCCAAACGTGGCTTCGAATCGACCAATAAGTTCCGCAGCATTCACCATTCGCCTCCCCTCAAGTGGTCCGACAAGCTAGCCGCACGTGCGCAAAAACTTGCTTACCAAATGGCGCTAAATGGAACCATCCAGGCACCAGGGATAGACGAGATAGGAGAAAACAGAGCAAAGCTGTCTGCAGTYAACTACGACTGCGAGCTCGCCGGAGAAGAGGCAACGCGTATATGGTACRCGCAAGGAAGCCATTACAGTTATTCAGACCCTCGTTTAAACAGCGATACAGACTCCTTCACTCAACTTGTCTGGAAAGACAGCCGTGAGATTGGCATGGGTTGCGCGCAAAGAAAGGGTTCAGTTACCAATGAGATTTACGTTGTAGCGCTGTATTATCCTCCGGGGAATTCAGAATCGACACTGAGAGATAACGTGATAGATCCTAAGAGAATGAGTAATAAGGATGTGTACGCCACGATATATCGGCGAGAACACATGGGACACGACCAAAGCAACAAGAACTGAAGTCATTTTCTACCTAAATATAGTCAAATATAGAAAAACGATTTGAAATGTTTCTTCGATTGTCTCCCTCCAAGCGTCATGGAAGGAGGTCGGTGTTGTGTGTCCTGCACGATGGTGTTGTGTTAATGGATAAAGACTTGAGACAGAGCACTCAGACTTGTTCTTAGTCCACTTCTCGCAATTAACTAAATGAACGATGTTTATATATATTTCTTTTGCAATACATCATGTTTATGGGCTGTAGTCAACTTGCTTGTCTGTCTTGTCTGTTGCTTCGTATGTTTGTCTGTTTGTTTGTTCRAGTAATTCCCAAGATAATCTATACCCTAAAAATTCAGTTTTTTCGCGGGTTTAAAAAAGACATAGTAGGGCTTCTGTGATGACGGAATGCTGTGAAATAATACAAACATACACCTTAGAATTGTCCACAGCTGTCTGTAATAGAGGAACTAGACTCGTAGTACTGCTGCTTTAACTCTCTTAGAGGGATTTTTAATCATATGCAGGCCAGTTAACATCTCGCTGATGGCACGATTGAACGACTAACAAAGCCTCTCAATTCATCAATCACTGAATCAATCCATCAATCACTGAATCAATCCATYAATCAATCAATCAATCAATCAATTTATTTACTACCAGTTTTACCGTGACAGACTAAAATATATAATGATACAAGTTTATTTGGTAGTTGCTAACTGTAATTTTTTTTATTGTTATTTTATTTACAATAATTAAGTCATGAAAGAATCATAAATGAAAAAATATATATGGAATAGTAAGCTAGTGCTCTGTATCAACTGTAGAAATACAAATAGTCTTTCTGGAATAGATAAAAGTTTCACTGAACTAATACAGTAGATCATCATCTACGAGTAAGGAAAAGTGTCGGGTATAGGATTTCGAAATAAGGTGTTCAGGAAACGCCATCATATCTCCTGCATTTTAAGGACAAATCAGAATTTTGATCAAGTTCATTTTAATGAGCTAAAAAACATGCTCGTCTTTACAAAGGGGGCTTCCATGGAACCCAAGAGCCCCCTCCCTGCATCAGCTACTGAATAATTTGAAATCTGCAGTACTGCGAAGGAGAGGAAGAGAAAGAACGCAATCTTTGTCCCGCCCTTCTTTGCATTACCGCAGACCGCCGAACAACGCAGGCTAAAAAGAGACCGGTATATATCTAAGAGAAACAAATTATTAATCGGGAACACTACTTTGAAGGTTTTTTTCGTTCAATGGCATTTAACCACTACAGTTTTTTTTAGTATCATTTMTCTAATGTGTCTCAAAATATTTTTATTAAGAGAACACTGAAGGAAACCGTTCAGTAAATCTCCAGTCCTGGTCTGTCCGCTGATTCGTTAATAGTGATGTCATGTTCTGTTTTAAGCACCACATCAGTCAGTCAAAACGATACAAATTTGATCATYACTAAAGATGGTGTCCATTTATATTTCTTCACGTTGTCTTTTTAAAAGGAATTAATGTAAACTTAAGTGAAGAGGTAAGCGTAAAATTATCTATAAAAAGCTAGTACAATTTTTTTWATGTCTTTGAGTTGATTCGTAGAAGGTTATCCATATCTTTTTGCTATCTTACACGGGTCATTAAATGGCTGCCGAACTCTTCAACCCCTGACAAGTTTAGTACCAACCTTTTTGCGCGGAAAATATAAAATGGTCCTTCAACATCTTACTTCGATACTTATGGTTCTTTATTCATTAGATTAAAAGACGATTTAAAATGAGTTTAGTTTTCCATTTATACAGTATTTTGTCGTAGAATTTGTTGGCAAAAGCTATTAATGGCACATTAGACACTCGGGTTTGGATGCTGTCAGAATTCAAAGGATGAATGGTTCGTGGAGACTTTGTTTTATAGCCTTCTTGAGCCTTGGTATTCAGCATCTCGCACAAGCATTGCCTTCAGGTACGTATGCTAAAATAATTCCATTTTCGCGTTCTCATACTGTCTTTGGAGACATTATGGAGGCCTTTCTAAAAGCGATAAARAAATTCAAAATGCCAGACTGTACACAAAAAACCCTACCATTTTCCCTGATCTATGCAACATTTTGAAACATAAACAATTTTGAAACAAAAATTCTCTAATTTGGTAATGTCCATCCATGCGTCGATTTATTCACATGACGGATATTTCCCGCCATATCAGATGTAACGTTCAGATCCCGCTTGTACGAAGCCTGGATAGCGCTATCCAACGGATAAATCTTATCCAGTGGATAAATTTATTGGATAACAGCKTCGACTTATCCACTGGATAAAGATTTATCTGTCGGTTAGCGCTGTCCACCTTTCGTACAACCGGCCCCAGGTATATTCCAAGAAGCACAATTGCCATAGSCAGCGACGTCAGTAGAACGAGAGATTAGCGATTCAGCGCATAAATGTCCTCCAACAAAGCAGGGAAGAATCTCCTGTTTCATTAGTGCATCAATGTTTTTCATATGGTTTTTAAAAGTGCCTTTCTAGTCTCCCCCACAGCCGAAATTCTTAGTGTCGACCGGCTGCTTTGGAGACTAGTGCCTTTCTAAATCTAAACAAGAATATCAATTGGATTTTCCACTCCACTCTCTTCTCTATCAAAGACTGATCTAGCAATGCATGATTGACTAATTTCAGGACCAAACAGCTCAGCACATAAGAGAACTATTGAAATGCAAACAGCATACGTGTACAGAAAGGCTTCTCAACGCTCGCCGCATTACTCAGGTAACGCCTACTTCAATCTTATTGGTAGATATCTGACAGGTCAACTGATATTTCGGCCCCGCCATATTTGGACAGAAGAAGCGACAATCGATGCAGATTAGTTTTCAGTAGTGAAAATGCTACGCCTTTTACCGCTGTCACTGCTTGTAGACTAGATTCTAAGACTTTTTCTTGTGGACCAGATTGTGAGACATTTTAGAATCGTATAATAATCGTTCACTACTTTGCTTCAAGGGTTTTTCACTCCTGTTCGGTCCAGCCTGTAAAGGTTTCAGAAGCCACTGGCTTGATATGTAGACTGAGAAATAGTATAACTTACATTGCGGTCAACAGAGGCTTATCTTTATTTGAAGTAATTACCTTGCACAAGTATGTGAGTTTATAAATTGGAGATCGTTTACATGTCCGTAGACCTAATTCGTYTTGGTGCCATGCTTTCCCATTTCAGACCATGTGTCAATTCTTAGAGAATAAGATTTTTTGTTTGAGTTGTATCAATATCTATGTGTCTAATATCATGCGCAACCATTAAACAAAGAAATGATACTCTAGGGAAAGACGCGTGGTCTGTGATGGGAAAACATTGCATTAAGACGGATTAGGTTTATTGATTCACAATGTGTCCTCCTAGTCCTTACTCTTGAAATACTAATTATCGTTTGTACAGTTATTCTAGGTAGTAGTGGCAAAAGCATCGAAGGACCTGCCCTCCCCTCCCCTGGTGGGGATGAGATTCATCGCGTCCAAGGATTTGTGATCAACAGCGATGATGTAGTGACAGGTAAGTCGACTAAAATTTTGGTCTCCCACTCATTCTTTGAAAAACATTTTGGAGATCAACCCATTGAGCTCAAAAATAATTGTCAGACCCCCCCCCCTCCTCCTCCATTCATTTTCCCCATTTTTACCCTCCCCCTCTGACATACATAATAACATAATAAATACAGCCTATGTACTTTTGCGATTGGCTTATTTGAATACAAAAAACTAAGGAATAATCAGTCTAAAAATTCAAAGCCACGAATGAGTTAAAATTGTGATTTTCAAAATAATTTCCCATTTCTTTCTTGTTTAGACRAATCGTCAAGTTTCTCCAAGGCGGGTCTCCTAGTGCATGACCGATACCGCATGCTCCACCACGCACCACCGCTGTCCTGGTCAGACAMACTGGCTCATCAGGCAGAACGAGTTGCATACGACCTCGCAAAGAAGCGAACAGACTCAAAGCGCAGCGAGATTCTCATGGACGCAGTCGGTGAAAACGTTGAGAAATTATTCTCCGTGAGCTACAACTGCGAYGGTAGAGCGGCCATAGAAGCAGTTGATCGCTGGTACAAAGAGAGTAACGATTACAGCTTTGCCTACCCTCACCTTACCGAGAAGACGAATTCCTTCACCCAACTTGTTTGGAAGGGAACGACAACGTTTGGAATGGGTTGCGCGATGAGGAAAGGACTCTTGACGAATGAYGTGTTTGTAGTGGCGCTGTACTCGCCACCAGGAAACATTAAGGAAGAAGTGGGGATTAATGTATTGAGATCAGGAGAACTGAAACAGAAGGACGATGTGTATTCCAACATATTTTAATAGATGGCCAAACTAGTGGGCTATTGCAAATAAACCTAATTCTTTGTGGTGTAATGTTTTTTCCATTTCAGTCATCCAAGTGTCATTCACTTGAGAATACGATTCTTTGTCTGAGTTGTATTTATATTCGTGTGTCTTCTCGTGCGCAACCGTTAATCAAAGAAATGATACTCTAGGGAATGACATGTGGTATGAAATGAGAAAACATAACGCCCAAGTTAACCTGCGAATAACTCAATGGTAGAGGAAAACGTCTGGTTAAATTCAACCTAATGTTTATTTGCTGCCTCACATTTCTGTTGATACCTTGCATTGCATACCTTGCATACCTTGCAAGGGCGTATTCAGGGATGCCTGTGGCGACCCTCCCCATCAGTTGATTTATTTGTAACCCACGTGCATTATGGGGGAAGGGAGAGAGAAATCATTTGTTGATCAGCGGATGATCCTCATGACGGGTCCTCATAGGACTCTGCCTACAATTAGCCTAGTTAAGCCGACACGTTTTGGAGGCAGAGACAAGGCCCGCCCATGATTTTTTTTGGTGACAAGTCGAGCGCCTAAGCCAACGCCCTTTTTAGACTTTGTTGAAGTGTTTGTAACAAATAAAAGACAGCGGATTAAAACAGACCTATTTCCACAGTCCTATTTGCCTCGATCATTCAAATGCCAAAGATCTCACAACTGATATACACGTAGCAGTCTTTCTAACACTCTGTATCCCAAACTTGTTTAGTTTGCGTCAAATCGAGCGCATAAAACAATAAATCGTCTTTGGTATCCTAACCAAAGCCAATCGTACTTGATGAGAATCGTTTTCAGTTTTCTTCGACCCTGGGCCTACAGTAGTACGACAAGTTGAKCGCATAAGCCAACAATCTATGATTTATAGTCTCTCAGGTCGCTCAACAGTCCATGACAGATCGTTCCTWGTATCAAATGTCTYAGGGTAGTTCACTCCATGAWAGCAATCGCTCAAATTTGTCTTCAKGAGTTTCATATAGGACACGAAAGGTACATACGTTACGGCAATTAAAGCGCCCAATATACCACCACGTATCTATCCATTTCCATYGTCTCGGGTCACTCGAACTTCGTTCGTTGACCCATTAATAGGACAGCGGGTGTCATATTGACTTTTCTTTGACAGTTCAATAAAGACAAATAAACCTCGCCATCAATTATTAATATGTGGGTTTCCTGTGGCATTATATCATTGATTTCCAGSCTTGCTTGATTGTGTTATGAATAAAATATCAAAACTAATTTCCCCGTCATTTTGGGGTCGAAATTTGGGATCCCATTTCGTCGAAAATGATGAATATTTTGTCGAGATATCGTCACATCTTTCTYGTTCTCCTTGTCTTTCTCGTATGCTCTGAATGTAAGTATAGTATCGCATTAAAATCAATTCTTAAGAAAATCAAATTAGTAAAACTAGATAAGAATCTTGTCGCGACTGTTTACTTTATTTCTGTCATTTTGAGAGTTTTTTCGACGCGAAGTACTCTTTATTATATTTGTTAGTCTGTAAAAAAAAATTTAACCTCAACATCGCATCATCAAAATATCAAAACAATCTATTTTTATCATYTTACAAGTATCACTTTTATTGGGAGTAAATTATTGGTAGTAAATAGAACAACCAGTCGAAGACAGGTCCGTTGTTTTTCTTAGTTTTGATTTGAAGTTGAAGGGGRAAATTTTCTAGGTTCACAACTTTTTCATTGCCTGTTAAAATAAACGTCTACATTTTCAAATACCTTTTATAAAGTAATKAAATAGCATTCTTTGTTCTTTTACTTCGCAAGGGGCTATCAATAGGGCGACTAGCAGACACCTATCTCATTGTTTTGGGGGATTTTGGGGGGTTCTTGGTTATTGAAACAACCCGTGTTTTTCTCATGCCGAGTTCTGCCGAACATGGCATGGCTAATCTTCAGTGCAATTTCCCACCAGTGCAATAACTAGTTGTTTTGTTTTGGTGTTGTGTTCTCGTAAAGTTATTGTATTTATTTGTGATGATTTGTATTGTTTGTGGTTATTCAGTTTGTTGTCAGTAGATGGTGGAAGCAGTAGTTGTGGTCTATATTGCCGGGTTGTGTGTAAGAGGTTAATTACTGATTTTATTTTTGTGCCAATGAAGTTGTTGTTGTGATGATGTTATAAGATTTGTAATCATTTGATTTGTTATTTGTAGTGGTTAGTAGTGGTAGTGGTAGTCGTGGTGATGGTAATGGTGGTGGTGATATTGGAAGTTGGGGTCGATGGTAGTGGTAGTAGTCAGCAGTAGCAGCAGCAGCAGCAGCAGCAGTAATAGTAGTAGTAGTAGTTGTTGTAGTGAACTAAAACAAGGTTTTCTTCTCTAATCAAGGTTTTCCTTCCAAGCTTAAGAAACCAGGAAACCACAGACGAACAACGAGGAGCCACTTAAAGGGTATAAACCTTCTCAAACCTTTATATAGTTTTTTGGAAGTAGTATAATAAAATTCTTCAACCTTTAAATTTTATCGAGCCCTGAAACAATTTCTGGCGGGCTGATCTGACTCAGGCACTCCCTGCTAAATCAGATGGAAGTGACAGTTAGCTTGTTAGGTTTTGATCATGAGGGAGGAAAAGGTGGAGAACCCGGAGAGAAACCCCCACTGCTTTATGCTTTTGAGTGTCATGTTATGTTTTGTCTTGTGCTGCAGGTCATGGCCATGGGAAAAGCATGAAGAAAGATTCGGTACGGCCATCCAGACAAGAAGTTATGGGTCAGTAAACAAACATGGAAATGAGAACATGAGAACGAAATCAAAGTAAAAGAGGGGACTGACTTTCGAGGGGACTAAGATTTGCAAAATCTAAGACGGCGACATCAACTGGAAGTGTATATAATTTCTCTCATTAAATAATTCATTCAAAAAAACATTGTCAGTAAAGTCAACTCATCCACAAGGAAGACAGACCCTGAAGGCGCGAAACCTCATACAATGTTGACGTCGCCGTAAGAGATTTTTGCAAATCTTAAGTCCTTTATTGAGCAGTCTTCTACCCAGAATCCTCCAGCGCCTTCCTGATTTGTCGTCAGCGCCCGTACAGCCCGCTGACCAAAAAAGTCGGAAGACTCTGGGCTCGAGATTACCTATTCAGTTAATGTGAGACGGAACAGCCATTGTCCGATGATGAGCTATGCATGATCGTAAGCTGGGTGACATTGCCTTCATAGCTGTTTCATTGAAGAAACGTATTAGAAGAAAAGCAGTGATATATTAAATCATGTCCTCATATGAATCATCCAAGTTTAAAGTTGGTTAATACTTCGTCTGTTGGTTTACAGCTGCCGTGATGCATCCTGGAAAGCTAGACATAAGAGAAGAGAAGGAGYTGTCTCAGATGCAAGACTTCAACAAGGAGTACATGAACAACGAGATGGCTGCTGAAACATGTATGTATAAACATCTTGGATTGTAAAATCGTGACATGGTAACGAAGCAACCTTTGAGCCAATCTGAGTGTACACATTTATTACTTAGAGTAGATTTCTCGTGGCTGTGAAATGGCACAGTAAAAGCCACCGTAACGGTACGCACTCAACCAATCACAAGGCCAGAGATTATTGCTTAGCCAATAAAAATACTCAGACACGACACCATTATGACCACAACACGGCTCGTTTGTATCTTGAGTTTTTCACAGCCATATGAGAATATAGAATAATGTTCTTAATATTTCAATTGTATCTAATGTCAGTGCAAAAAGAAAACATTCAGATCAATGAGTTTATGTTCCTTTTTGCAGCTCTCTTGGCCAACCAGGGTATTGACGATGATTCTGCCCTTAAAATATCCAACATTGAAGCATTGCCTGGCGCCTTCCGGGGCGCAAATGCCTCTCCTAAAACAAAATTCAACGAAATGAAAGATGACACCACGAGCATGTCCAAACAGAACGTAGCAAACTTCAACCCAGACGAGTATATGCTCGACGCAAACTCGTGGCCCGAATACAAGATTAAGGACTCAGACTACATGAGTAGGAATTTCCGTGTRTTTCCAGRGCCAAATGAAGGTGAGGGTGGATTCCAAGGTGGTATGATGCCCTACGGAGCACGAGGAAAGATGGAGGAAGGTATGGAGGGTCCGTACGGCGATGGCAACTATGGTTTCCCTCAGCCGCCTCAGATGGTCAGTGATCAACCGAGCCCTCCTCAGATGCCAGATGAAGGATCACAGATCACATCGATGCCCATGAATGAAGCAAACAAAGTCCAAAGATTGGTTTTGAAAAACAACAAGCACAAAAACCCACAGAGTGAAACATTCAACGATATGAACGCCGGCCCATCTAAAGGGTCTTCCGATAAAGACTTGCTCCATCCAGCAGAGGGGGGCTCAGGTAGTGGAGAAGGTTCTGGAAACAGTGACCCAAATGTTAAAGAGAATAAAGCACCCTTGAAACCTAATGGAGCAAGCGAGACCCCCAAAGCTTCAAACATGAAAATTCATTTGAAGGATGATGGTAAAGGTGTGGTAGGAGCGGATAAAGGAGGGAAAGGTGCTGCAGGACCTAGTACAGGAGGAGGAGGGACAGAGGGAGGTTCAGGAGATGCTTCAGGGGCAGTGGGAGCTGGCAAAACAGGATCCGACGGGACAGAAGCATCAGCTACTGGAACAAAATCCAACAGTGACAGTTCCCAAGTCCTAACCTCACAACCAAATCCAGAACAACTAGTCACAAGTACAAAAACGCCAACACCGGAAAAAATAAAACAAAAAGATGATAAAAATAAAACACAGAATCTTTCCACTAGTGGTAAAAGTGACTCCACAAATGGTAAAACTGGATCTAACCAATCTAATGGGACAACAGGATCCAATCTTTCTGATGGATCATCAGCAAAAGAGATCACAAACGCTTTGTCGCAAGCGCAAGGCAACAACCCCCTGGGGCAATTTGCCGAGTTCTTGAAATCTAARGGAATAACTTTGACAATAAATAAGGACAAAGCTACGGCCACCTCCAACGCCCAAACGCCTGATAAAGAAAGTCAACCAAACTCTACAACAGCACAAAGTGCCCCACCACCATTATCAATGTTAGCATCYGTCCTTCCTACCACGGGAGAATCTCTTTCCCAACCGTCCAGCAATACCAACAGCATTACCAWAGCAAATGGCTCCCAAGACAGTCATGCCTCTCCCAACAACTTAGATAACGCTGTAATGAATTGGCAGAACATTGCTCCACAAAACGCCGGTCAAATAGGAGAACTTTTTCTACGACAATCCACCAAACAAGGTCACAACTAACAACATTATTTTTGAACTGGAAAGTTTTTTGTCTAGCTGTGTTGATCGTTTTTAGACGGAATCTTTAACCCTGAGAACTAGACGAGTTGTGTGTCATATTGATAGAAATACTCACTATATTCAGTACGAATAGTAATGGCAACGAAGTCTTTATTAACGTTTGTATCAAACGATCTGAATGTTATCAACCCCAGCATGGAATAATAAAAAAAACAAAAACAAATCTTGTAGTTTGTAAACTCTTTAACAACTGGGAAAAACAGTTTGATATGAATCCCCCCATGCTTTGGGAGGCAAGAAGTTCTAGCCGAGACGATGTCCTTTCATGCACGCAACGTTTGCTGTAACTACTGCTAATCGCTATATTTTTTTGGAATTTGTGCAACGTGTCTAACAAAGGCCTTGTACTGCAAGCTGTGAGAACATTGAATTTCTGATATAGGTTTTCGTGTTTTGAAGGAACACAGAGAGCATTTGTAGCGCCACGCAGTCACCAAAGTTGCAAACTATAAGGCGCAAAAGATCGGTGTTCCCTTTTAACCGGTCTGGGATCYCCTTGAGCCCTACCTACTTAGGGAAGTGTTAGTTTATAAGTATTAGTGGAAAGAAAGATAACGTTTACGACTGAGATAAAYAACAACTGTGAAGTACTACGTTTATCAATATGTAGCATATACCAACTTGTGACTACTTCCTAAGAACGCGCGCGCTCATTGGTTAATTGCTAAATATTCCCCCATATTCACTTCGCCTTCGGCGAATAATTGCTAAATAGTTTACTTGGATACTTGACCAGATAGATATATATGGCCCCTTTTTTGACTAATTTTTTGAAGTCACGCCAAACGTGGTCAGTACTATYTATCCCAACTGCTATTTACACTGTAGGATCTAGCTCAGTTCCAGGGACATAGGAACCATAGTCAGTTGCAATAGGAGGTCAAGAAATTCATATTTGAATGTGATGTACCCGATTCCATATTGAAATGCTTTGAGTTGATGGAGATTTCATGGAAAACTGAAATTGAAAACAAACACAGCGGAAATAAGGAAAAGATATGTATCCTTAAGTCCTAGTCAAACAGGCATCTCAAAAAATTCTTCACGCAAGAATTCGAAACTCCCACTAAAATATACTGGAGTAAAAGAACACTGAGAAGAAAACAAACAACGAAAGATTTTCCTGAGGCGATCAGTACCAAGTGCTGAAGGTTACTTCTTTAAAACAATGTCATTTGCGCATTTGAACTGGGTAACTTTGAAGAAACTATCGCTCGAAACACGGAAAAAGARCTAGAGAAACTCGATTCTGAATGGAAAAATCTTCCAGTTTCGTACGTTTATCTTTGGCCAAGATGATTGATGTCATCTTATATTTTTTGGCATGYCTTTCATTGGTTACTTGTACTGATTGTTCTGACTTGTGCAGGTCACATTTTCACGGTGTTTGCCTCACAAGAGCGATGACCTCATCTTCRAAGATAGAAAAACAGGGCTTTCTTTCTCGCGACCGAAATCAAGATTTAAAAAGGATGTTTTGATTAAAAAAAGGTACTTTTCTAATTCTGGTAAGTCCAATAAGACATCTTTCTAGCAATAGTAAAAAATCATTCCAAGTCATGAAAAAATGTTATAAAACCCTCAAGTCTTCAAGGTCTCCAAACTGAAACTAATCTCGAGGCAAGAGTACAGTAAGGTCGAAAAATTAAMTTCAATGTTCTTTGTAATACGATACAACTTCTATCAGATTCGTAAACTTAATACGACTGACCGATTACCTGTTTTTTCTTTTGATTTAAAAATCCTGATTTTATAGTTATACCCTGKTTGACAGGTCAGAAGTAGAGAGGCAGCGTGTCGGCGATGAGGGGTCGCGCATGGATGGATTTCTGTTTCCTCTTTGGGCTCGTGTTTCGTAAGTCTTACCCTGCTTCAYAGAGATTTCTTATTTCCCCCASWSWGGGGGAAATAAGAAATCTCTGCCAAGCAGGGTACGTAAGTCTCGCCCATAAATTTAAATCTCTAGTTGTGTTGTGCGAAGATTCCGATTATGCACATGAATTGCTAAAATCTCCCTCTGTTAATGCAATAAAWGGATGGGTTAYGTTAGTCACARTTGCAATGATTTTMTAGAGGAATTGTTCTGGGGGACAAAACAATAGGCCGTCTTTTCTTATGAAAAAAAAATMATTSCTTTGTCACCCAGAACAAATTCTCTCCGGACTCAGTGCAAGGGGTCTATTAACTTAATCTATAAGTCTCAAACATGACCACAGTACTGTCCATTGGGAAGACATTCAGACCAGCCCACGGCAGTGACCACCAAATAAACTGGTCTAGTTTCCTGGACATAGTACCATCCATTTTTACTGACCATCCACCCCTGACTCAAACATAACTGGACCAGTAAAATCTGCACAAAATTTTTGGACACAAAAATAATACCAAGCAATATCCTACCATTTAATAATTGTGACTATACTAACTTGTTTTATTTTTTATATTTTCACATTTCAATTTGGAAACCTCCAGTTGCTGGTCCAACTTACAGTAGAATTTTACAAGGTATTTGCACATCACGAATACGAATAAAAAGAAAAATAATAAGTGAAAATACAAAAATAAATAATGATGCACATAATAAATAACTTTCTAATAAATTACTCGCAAGAGCACACTCTAGGGCGACAAGTCGCTGGAGCATGTTTTAAAAAAGCTTGGCGTTGAACTGTTGCAAAAAACATATGCAGACTCATTGTCTTTCGTCACACCTGTTAGAGAARAGCTGCACTGAGTCTGTGTRTGTTRCTGATGCTTATACTTKTGTTGTAGACTCAGTTGTGCAWTGCTMATTAACAGCAGTTGTCTTTCCTAACACCTGTTAGAGAAGAGCTGCTCTGAGTCTGTGTATGTTGCTGATGCTTATACTTGTGTTGTACACTCAGTTGTGCATTTTTCATCAACAGCAGTTTTCTTTTTTTCACACCTGTATGTTGCTGATGCTTATACTTTAGCTGCAACACATGAGAAAGAACTTGTGTTGTAGACTTAGTTGTGCAATGCTCATTACCAGCAGTTGTATTTCCTTAGAATTGTGAGAGAAGAGCTGCACTGASTCTGTGTATGTTGCTKATGCTGATGCTCTAGCKGCAACACATGAGAAAGAACTAACCWAATCATGGTTATCTTTTATGTTCAGTGTTCATACCAGATTCCAAAAGTACTGTACCGCATTCAGCGCTAGAGTCACACAAYAAATACCGCAGCATCCATCACTCTCCTCCATTAAACTGGTCAGATTCGCTCGCTGATCAAGCACAAGCTATAGTCGATAGCATGGCGAGGGGTGGGTCGTTCTCGTCTGGCCAGCGAAATATGGCTGTTAATTTGGGTCAAAACCTCGCTAAGCTTGCAGGTAAGATATAAATAAAGATCAGTCTATTCTTCATCTGACCTGTTGCGCCCCCATCAAGTTGCTGTCTTTCTCTTTTCTCATAGAACCAGGAGAGAAACGCCTGGTGCGGGGGGCAATAGATCGATGGAAACCATAGTATTTATGCCATTACTTAACAATTTGATGAATGATTACATTCATTGCAGGTTTCATGACATGTGACGATGCTGGAGAGATAGCAACCAACCTCTGGTACAGCCAAGCTAAAAACTACAGCTACTCAGACCCTAGACTGAATGCTGACACAGACACCTTTACACAGGTAAGACAGACACACAGACACCTTAGCTTCACACAGGTTAGATAGGCACACAGACACCTTTACACAGGTAAGAGACACACAGACACCTTAGCTTCACACAGGTTAGACAGACACACAGACACCTTAGCTTCACACGGATTAGACCATCAGACACACAGACACCTTCACACAGGTAAGGCAGACACACAGACACCTTAGCTTCACACAGGTTAGATAGGCACACAGACACCTTAGCTTCACACAGGTTATACCGCCAGACACACAGACACCTTCACACAGGTTACACAGACACACAGACACTGTTTCGAGGAGTTTTCATGGTCAAATCCATTTTTACCGTCCACAGGTAGTATGGAAGGACAGTAAGGAGTTAGGAGTCGGATGTGCTCGAACCCCTACGAACCAGTCTGGTCCAGTCTACATAGTAGCACTCTACCGCCCGGCCGGAAACATTCCCAGAATGCTCCGCCAGAACGTCCTAGCACCAGGTGTAAAAGGCAATGATCCAGATGTATATTCTACACTATTCAGACGAAACTTTAAGAAACCAAAGAGAAGTAAACTGAATTTGCCCTAGCAAAAATAATCTAGGAATTATTTGTGATTTCTTGAGGTACAGGTCTCGAGGTACGATTTTATCGAACGGGATTCCTGTGGACAAAGGAAGCCCAATACTAGTTTAACCAGATATATATAATGTATATTGAAGTTTTGATAGAAGCATCGGTCTTCTTAATCATARATAGGATGGCTATATTTGTATTTCCATAATGAAGCAGGGATTCGTTGATTTATTCAAGTCGTGTTTTGATYAGGATTTATCTCATAGCCATTCATTTGTTAATAAATAAACAAATAAACCATCCAGGTGACGACCTAAATGTATCATTTTTGGTGGGTTAAATTTCAGAGTAGCGTTGAATAAAAATTGCCTACGCCTGAGTCGAACTTCGTGCTTTTTCATTGGCTCCTTGAATTCGAGCAATTATTGCTTTTTTCGGTTATTTTGTCGTATTCCTCGGCTAGAGTGGGCCACTTTCTACTTCTACTCGATTCTCATCCACTTGGGATACCTGTGTTAACAAGTAAACCATCACTTGGAGTTTTTACTATTTCCGTGCACTTCGGTGGTCGACACTTGAGATACCTGTGTCATCAGATAACCCAGCACTTGGATTTTTCACAGTCGGTCTTCTCCACGTCTGACACATATACCTGTACCAACAGGAAACCCAACGCTTAAAATTCTGGTCGTCCACCAAGTCTATATCAACAGGCAACCCAACGCTTGTAATTCTCCACATTTCAAGGGTGGTTGTTTGAAACCATGGAGCTATCGCACAGCCAAAGCTAGCGCTATCTATGTCATACCCTAGTTCTATTCCATGACCATCGCCAGCACCTCAGTCCTCGTCATGTCTCTCCAGAGTCATTTTCTAGCAAGACATCCGAAGCAGACCCAGTATTAAACGGCCGTCTTCTCTGAACACCGTCTCGTGACGTCATAGTCCCTAGACATTTTATCAGTGACTTGGGGATGACGTTTCTTGTTTTTCTGGTTTTAAACGAGGATAAGAATGAAAGGAAAAGAAAAGTAAAGTTATCGCCAGGAGAAGTATTTGATTAAGTATTCAACTGAACTGCTCTATAAACACCCTTTTATAATACATATTCGGGAGAATTATTTGCATCATGTGTACATCGTGTTTATCGGAAAGTGTCTTTAACTGTGATGTAAACTATCCCATGATGGGTTACACTAGCATGTCGTGACGTCAGTGTTATCGGAAGTTGGACGCATTTACTGAGTAAAACGTGCGCAAAGCACTATGGGTCATATTTCACTATACCTATAACTTTTTTCATTCAGTTATTTAGGTATGAGAAAAAACACACAGCCATGCAGAGCCAGTTTTTAAACAGTTTCACCTTATCTGTGACGCAGTAAGGAGTTTGTAAACCACATTTCTTTTACTGTTTGTAGTTGAAGCGTGGACAAAATATTTAAAAAATCCAAATGCTGGTCAAACCTGTTAATGAACCCATTTCCATTGGAACGAATGCGGATATTTGAACGAATCCACGCACTTGATTACACMATTTGGTAGGAATAATTTGAACACAAATATATATTATCAAGGTATCGTTCACTAACCTGGAATTGAATTCAGCAGATATTTGTTCTAATGTTCTGTTTTTTGTCTCTGGTACGTATTTATAGATGAAAATGACTGATATCATCCCAATAAAGGAGTAAAGRTAACACGTCCATGATGTGCCTATTGAGCCTTTAAAAATAAAAGATTAGTTAGAACATGCTTGATTATGATAATAATCGTGATAATCGTGATGAATGAAACTACCTTGACGTACGTGCATGATACGGTWACGGCATGGTACATTCATCCAACCAATCACAGTGCACAAGGTTATATAGTCATCCAATCAGGATGCTGTACAATTTTGTAACATATAYACTTACTTATAAGGTCCAGGAAGGTCAAGGAAACGATCAGATTAGAGCCCCAGTTAAGTACAGTGGAGAATGCAAAGGCTCGACCCTTGATGGCTGAGGGAAATATTTCACTTAACAACAGCCAGGAAACTGCGACAAAAAATGAAGGGATTCAAAAAATACTTTAGAAAATCTGACATTCATGATTTTGGGATTGATAGTGCTTTGAACCCCCTCCCCTCCCCTCCCCTCTGATGCTGAAATGAGGCTAACCCTGAGTAAACTAGTYTGTAATTAAGAAGTACAGTACCCATACTGTTAGTCTCCCTCGCATCCGTTTTTAGTGTCGGTCGTCACGCAACGCTCCCTCCCCACAAGGGAGCGTTGCGTGACGACCGACACTAAAAACGGATGCGAGGGAGACTACTATGCTGTAGTCCAGAGGTTATATATTCTCGCTCTGGCGTTCGCTGTTTTGACGTTTCAACCACAGGTAGCCCAGGGTAGAAGCACAGCGGTATTGTACAAATTCCAAAATGGTCAGTTTCCCTTCCCTAACCCTCTGATTTTTTTCCTCTATCACATGACATCGTCTGTTCATCATCTAATGTTGTTTACCTGGTCCAAATCCAAATGAGTATGCGCCAACAAACAGAACCATAGCAGTAAGTGAAATATACTTCAAGCCAGGAYTAACAGGAGAAGTYTTCTTGGGCAATGAAAAATCCGTCCTCGTCAGAATACTAGTACTCTGGCCATGGGAGGTTGCGTGGATGGACAAAGGGTTTAAAGTGCTCGGGATGCGAAGTGTAGTAATGCTACTGTTGTRATTGACGTTCATTGGAGAGGTGTCAGAATACTGGCACTTGTTAGAAGGGTGTAGCTCAATYGGTAGATAATGGACCACAAGGCCAAGAGTAAGGATGCTCACACACATCACTGATGAACCAAGCAGCAGGAACCGACGGCGACCTGGAAGGATGAAAACTAAAAACTGTAAAAGGTTGCCACTGTTGAACCTTCGAAATTTTATGGAACCCTGAAAAAAACTCTGGACTGTTTTATAAGTCAGGGCACGGCTAATTCACAGATCGAACCCTGAAACAACCTCTGGACTGATCTATAAGTCAGGGCATGGTTAACTCACAGATCGAACCCTGAAACAACCTTTGGACTGATCCTATAACTCACAGATCGCACCCTGAAACAACCCCTCGAGACTGATCTACAAATCAGAGCAACGCTAACTCATATATCGAATTGGAATTTAGCTTGTTACGTTTCGCGGACGGCGTAAAACTGTATARAACCGGGGGAAATCAAGATAGAGAGGCAAGCGCACTACTGCTACACACCGCACGTGATCCTCAATGAACATAGACGTAAAACAAACTGAAACTGAACTAAATACTCTGCAAATAAAATAAGAAAGGAAAATATCTTGTAAAATAAGTTAATCATAAAGAAAGAAACATCAGACTCACCTCCTCTGTCCACAGTCAACAATGAAGCTATAGTAGCCATGAGCTAAACRAGTGTGAGCAAACAAGATCGTAGTTAGCTACAAAAATCAGACATACAAACAAATTATCTATATCCGACTTTGAAGGAAAGGTTGGATACAAAGGAGTGATGCTATCTCTGTAGTTAGGTACATATAGAACTGTATACATGGCCGTATA